CCGAACTTCAGACGGAGTAAAGGTGAAGAAGGATGCAAAAAATAAATACCTTTAACACTGTTAAGGAAGCTTGTTTGAATAATTGTGATTCCATGCGGGCTAGTTACCTTGACCATGTCTCCTCAGTTCACGGCCTACAGGTGTTCAGGGCAGCAGATTTCCCTGTCTCTTTTCCATTCTAGAACCGGGGGAAGAAAGTTGTTTCCTAAGGGAAAGTCTCCGCACAGCGACCAGCACCCTCTTGTGTTCACTGCGCGCAGAGGCCAAACCCAGCGCCAATTAACTCCGGATGGCTCCGGAGCTTCATCCTGGAGCGCCTTCCACAGCCCCAAACCTGACAKAACAGCAGGAACCTGAAGGCACATCCATGTTTCTCCAACAGCTATTGCCCACACACGAAAGCAGTAATTAGCATGACTACATGTTAATTTTCTCAAACACCATCTGAAGTATTCAATCTGAACAACTCCTGCCCCAGTATTYCCTTGGAGCTACCACTGCCTTTCCAAGAAGGCTTGTATCTTACCTAGGTAGAATTTTGTTGTCTTTCCTAACTAAATCTTGAATATGTTTTCCACGTATGAATACTATTAAAAGTAGGTAAATTTGAATTCAATTTAAATTCATGAAGTGATAGATAGAAAAATATGTATAAGCTTGTAACAGGTGACTTAAATGTGTATAAAATATATTCTGAAGAACATGAGAYGCAACAGTAGTACTGAACACACTCATGCAGATAGATTAAAAGGATTATCATCAAAAGTAATTAAAACAAAACTAAAAACCAGCTTTGTATCCTGAGCCACTGTGTTCCTTATGTATATAATGAGTGAGAAATAATACTACATACATACATGCATACTACTACCTGCTAGATCAGCTCAAGTTAGGGCACAACATATTCTAAATTCCTGACATTTAATGTATATCAGGAATACTAGGAAATGTGGGTGAGAAGGGATTTCAGCCCTTGCAGCCTGGCAGGGCACAGTGCACCCATCCTASGTGTTATTCCTTTACATACACTACCCTCTGTTGGTTCATTACAGAATCCTGTACCTGTACTAGTGTTAATAATATATTGCCAGGAAAAATGTCACTTTTTTTTTTTTTTAATACAAATAAATTAGTTAATTCCTCTTTGATTCCACTGTTTAAAAGACAGATTCACCATCTATTAGTCTCCATGTGAGTTTAGTACTACAGTTTCAATAAAATGAAAAATTCTGTGTTTAGATGCAGAAAATTATCCTCCCCTGTTGTGCATCATACAGATGGCTGTGAATTCCATCAATATGAATAAGAGGTGAGATTACAATAAAACTACAGCTTGTGGAGCATCCTCCACGGACATGTCACCCAAAAAGTGATCATCTCTCACTTTCTTTTGTGTTTTTCATTATGCTCTTAATTTTAGCTGCATGTTGTTTAATACATCATCCTGTTGTCATCATTAGTTTAATTTCTGTGATCTCCATCTGGCAAGGATGTGCACTTTGGTCTGAAATGTTACCTGTTTTATGGGTAAGTGCAAGCAGACAACTGCCACTGTTGTCTCCCAAATTCACAACCAGAATTCAATTATGCTTTGAACAATTCTGTGTATCTTAGCAGCCTTTGTCTTGGCCTGAAAGGTACTGAAGCAGTCTGTTAATGTTTAGTTATTGCATTTCTCATTTGACTTGATAGTTTGGTTTCTTTAATTCCTTGCAGATGTCATGAAAAAGTGATAAAAAGAAAAAAAAAAGGTGTCAAACCTCTAAACAAGAAAAATCTTGTTGCAAATATTCATGAACTTGAAGATTATTCTGAAGGCTGTGAAAAAAAGAAAAAGAAAAAAAAAGAAAAAAAAAAGAAAAAAAAAGAAAAAAGAAAAAAGAAAGAGAACAAATGCATGATTGCTCTACAGAGATTTTTAGAAAAAGCAGATAAATTTCCAGCTGATACAACACAGAAGAGTGTACCTGAAAATCATGTGTCATTAATTCATTCTCAATAGCCTGGAAGTGTAGGGGAAAAGTCCTTTAACCAGATCAATGCAAATAGACATGTTGGAGTTCCAGCTCCATAAAGGAGAAAATCAGTGCATATGGTGTGGCCGCTGGTGTTACCAGCACCTTGTACTTGATCTTGTTAAACCTCATGAGATTCTGACTTCTTGAGCTTGTCCAGAGCCCTCTGGATGACATCCTGTCCTTCAAAAGTGTCAAGAGCATCATTCAGCTTGGKGTCATCTGCAAACCTGCTGAGGATCCACTTGATGCCACTGTCTGTGTCATTGTTGAAGACACTTAACAGTACTGATCCCAATACAGACCAACCCCTGAGGGACACCCCTTGTCACCAATGTCCATCTGGACACTGGGCCATTGATCACTACCCTCCGGATGTGATCATCTAGTCAGTTCCTCACCCACCAAGCAGTCCACCCATCAAATCCATCTCTTTCCCATTTAGAGAGGAGGATGTGAYGGGGGCAATGTCAGAGGCCTTAGAGAAGCCCAGACAGCTGATATCTGCRGATCTGCTCTTGAACTCCACCAGAGAGCACTACTGGCTTGGTCAGGCAGGACTTGCCCTTGGTCAAGCTGTGCTGGCTATTTCAAATCATCCCAGTGTTCTTTGTGTGCCTCAGCACAGCTTCCAGGAGGATSTGTCTTCCCAGCACAGAGGTGATGCCTCACCACCATCCCCTCTCTCTGTGCCAAACCCTGAAATGTAATTTGATTCATGGCTGGAACCCAACATCTGGTTCTTTGCATTGCTGTGATCATTTCTGGGAATCCTGTACAATCCTACAAGACAATCACAGGGGACCAGAAGAAGGAAAATACTTCCAGGACAAAGCCTGGCTGCTGTGTGGTCTTTCCATTACTGTAGCACCTGCAGAAGAAATTCTGGCCCCCAGGTAAAACAGGCAGGATCTCCAGGTTATCAAGTCAGTTACCAGACACAAAGCATTATTTGCCATTTACTAGGGAGGAATTAAAAGAGCAACACTTGAATGCTTAATCAGTATTTACGTTTTCATTTCCAATCTTGTCACAGCTCCTACTGCAGACAGTGTGTGGAAGGRCTCCAGGCAGGTCCCACACACCTTCTGCACAGTCTTGCCACAATCTGAAGGTGCAGACCAGAGCTCAAAAAGRGCTCACACAGATGGGGTGAGGGACTGTGGGGGTGAAAAAAGGACACGGGTAAGGCTGCTCGGGGTCCTGAATCCCTTTTTGTGCAGCSTCTCTTCCCAGCAAGTGGTGTTATCACGTCTTTTAGAATCCTAGATCTGAAGGGTGACTTGCTGGGATTTAAGGAGGCACAGGTTATTTAGACAGGCAAAGTCTCCAGCTTGCTGTATTGTAAAAATAAAATAAAATAAATCCAATGCCCAAAATCCCATTCATCCCAGTTAAGCTAACACACACAATTAGACGAGAGACAGCTGCGTGCTGAGGATGTCATTCCATTACAACACTGCCACCTCTTGTTCTGCTGGTTTCATTTTTGCCCAGCTCCAGTCTGCCGTGGATCCACCACCAGCAGAAAGGCACAAAGTCTCCACTACTTTGTTAAACTGAAACGTTACAAGAAATAGCAACTGACTGGATGCAATGTTGTGTACTTCTATACTAGTTACAAAAAGTAGAGAACATCCACAGGTATATTCTATCAATCAGTGTTGACTAATGTGTAACTATTTTCTCTGCTAACTCGAAGAATGAGGAACTGAAAGAAACAGGGTGGGACATGAGTGGGGAAACAAATCAAACCTACCACAACGACAACAAAGAAAACCGGAATCCAAGCAGCAAAACCCACCTCAGGAGAAAATGTTACAGGATTTGTCCAGTATATGTAAAAATATGTTTTTTCCATGCAGTGTTATCTCCAAACTCTGTGACTCCTTCTGTGTCCCTCCACTGTATTTCAATATTTGTCCCATGTGCTGTCCCAGGGGCTGCCCCCCAGRGGCACACGTATTCCAGATGCTGGCTAATGAAGAGCAGTGCCTTCTCCACCGGGAACAGCAAGTCTGAGAATTATGTAAAACCTCCTGGAGAAGACTTGGCTGCAGGTAAGTAATGTAAGGTGATCACCTTTGAGTYTTGACTAGATGGTCCCTGGGAAGAGGTTTGCTCTAGAAGAAGGTGGATCACACTGTGCAAGCAGGTACAACAGGTGAAAGCCCCCAGAAAGGCACGGAGAAGAAACAAACTGGACAGGCTGTCTGGGCAGCTCTGTCCTGCTGTTTGATATTCAACTAGCTTCTACACGGGGTTGGACTACTGACAGAGATGAGATTTCTGCACCGTTTCCTTGATTTCTAGCACTATATTTAGTTTTTATTTATTTCAGATAGCAGTTATAYATAAAACCTTCTTGAATTAACCTTTCTGTTTGATGTTTTCACGATGTCTCCTCAGGTTTGTCTTGGTGTGTAGAGTAGCTGAGAAGGGGTGTAATGTTTAGCCAAACCCAAGTGCCTGGGAGCTGCCAGAAGCCTCTGAACCTGGTGAGCAGGCCAGGCACACAGCACTGGTCCCTTGGGCTGTGGGGCCAGCTCAATCTGCTGGTCTACCCACCACACAGAAAGAGATTACCTGAGAGCCAGTCTGTCAGGAGCAGTTTTCACATCTTTTCCTAGTGGGAAGATCCAGTCAAAAAGAAAWATCTGGTTTTCAAGTGGAGTTGGCAGAAGGCAAGCAGATATACCATGGCTGAGTTCTAATGGGATAGGAAGACTTGAAGCAGCTGGGTTTTTCTACTTCATATTTGGTAAACACRTTAATTCTAAACCATAGTATTAAATTCAGACTTCCTTGCAACCCTCTGTGGTGTCTAAACTCAAGATGAACACTCAAAAGCTGTGCTTCTTGTTTTGCCCACCTTGTGTGTACGGTCCACCTTGGAAGTGTTAGTAAGGTGAGATATTCAAGAGATAAAATAAAAATATCAAGAGATATTKTAAGCTTAAAAACTGTGTAATCTCATGTAACTGATTTCAGGAGTGAAAAATATGCAAATACCAGTTCTATCCTGACTTACTGCAAATGTTTCTCTCCTCATCTATTTTTTTTTTTAATATCTGTGCAATAGAAATTACTGCAATATAATGTAAGTGTTCATGTGTAAAACCATCGTGCTAAGAGCCATCAAGTTAGTGCACACAGTATTGCAGAGGATATTGTTATAATGTCAGTATCATTCCACTAAACCCTTATCCCTGAGTCCTTAAGTTAGGTTTTAGATTTATAACTTTGATCTTTATGTAAACCACATTTATATATTTGAGCACTGTAGTCAGTCAAAACAAGAACTATAAAATCAACACATAAACTGAATAATTCTTTGTATATTTTAGTCCATTAGTTCATTTTTCAGTCCAATTCTGTGTAAATAAACCATCAGTGAACATGTTACATGTAGAGACAATCCACATGAGCAGTTCACTGAGTTGATTGTGGTGCTTGGGGTTGGGCAGAGTGCTGAGGGGACCATCAGACAGCCAGAGTATGTGCTCTGTGCCTGGAAGCCTTCCTGTCCTTTGTCTGTGTTTGTTATGGTTTGTTATGGTTTGTATGGGAACCAAACAGAGATGCAAGAAAAATTATTTCATTAAGAAATCAAGAGCAAATTCCTACAATATCTCTAGGAAATATCATAAAAACATCCACAGGCAGTTAAAGGTTTTCAAAACCTGGCATTTGCCTGCTGCCCTGTGAATGCATTATCACACCTCTCCCCCACAGGCATTATTCACCCATGGTCACAAAAGTTGCAAGCAGAGCTGGCTWCCCCTCCTGACTGCTCTATCCCTGCTCACTGCATGGATATTTCTCCTTGTAAAGTCCCCCGTGAGCTGTGTTCCCACCATKTGCACCATGGCCCTTGCCTTACTTTAACCCTTCCTTCCTGGCTGCCCCACATACACGATCTCCGAGGTCAGGACCCCCTTGCCCATGAATGGCACACCCCAGCCATTAAAACATTTTCACACTCCGGGTGTTTTCAGCTGCCCTTTATTTTGTCTTTCTCTGGGCTAAGAAGAGCTCATTCCTGTCCTGGAAAATAATAACTAATATTAAAAATAAGAAACCCCAGTGACAATAACAATTACAGCAATAACAGCAGCAATACTGATAGCAAAATGAGCCATAGTGTGTTTCTTTTTGAAGTCAGCCTATCTGTTCTTCTTTTAGTCAGAATTGTATATGTGTTCTTATTGTTTAGGAGTAAAACAAATGCCTTATAGATTTTTTTCCTTGCCAAACCCTGGGTTTCTCGCCTAAATTTGTGCTTTCTTCAGTATGTAATATGAAAATTCCTTATGTGTCTTTCCCCTGTGCCTGCCTTGACCCATGCAGCCCCTCATCTCCATGTTGATAGAATTAAGGGCTGGTTCTCACAAAGACACCCACAGGTGAATTGTGACAAAGGAGAGCCAAGAAGTTCCTCCAGGGATCCATTGTTTATGGGAATCAAACACAAACGAAAATGAGCCAGCTCATGGTGGTTGCCCCCATGCATTGCCTCCCCAGATAAGTCCCTGCAGCCGGGGTATACCCTGTCTTCTCCCAAAGGAAAAACTTGAGGTCCTAAGCCTCTGTGCTCATCACAGCCCCCCTGGGTGGCCATGGGAAGGGAGCAGACATCAGCTGAGCAGCACCAGAACCTTGGTTTTCTAGTACTGGCTGATGTCTTGGCCAGAGCACTCAGTAACACTTGCATTAGTTTTGGAGAAACCCTTAGCCTCTCCCGCTGAGTGCTAGGGATTCCCATGKGTGAATCAAAACTTCCAAAATAGCATCATCAGAACAGTGACTTTATTAATAGAGACAAATGAAGGACTAAAACATGTTATGAGTTTGCTGAAACACACAGTGTACCTGTGGAGGACAGACATTATTTACATACATCAGTTTATTGTAGAAACATGAACCATTTGGTCTAGATGAATAGGATATCCCCAGGTAGTTTGCAACGAATCCAGACAGCTTTCTCTCCGTGGTGGCCCTGGTAATGCAGTCGATTTTCCCCCAGCTCCACCCCATCCAGGCTGGTGCCAGACCCCGCACACCACCAAAGCCTCATGCAGGATTTTGTACAACATAGGGTGGGCAAAATGAATTTGGCCTGAGGCCAGCGGTGCGGGCTGCTTGCTCTGGGATGTGCCGAGCTGGGTCCTCTCAGCTGAGGCGACAGAGAGGAGCTCAGGGTGCTTTGGACACACTCACTTGCAGCCTTCCCCCGCTACCCCAACCACCCCMGGCGAATCCCTTGGCCCCGGCTCCTCCAGTAGGAAGAGAGTGGATGTTTCCCCCCCGAGGAAGGAGCCGGATGGCCCGGGGCACGGYATGGGGCCAGCACCGCTTCCCGGCACGGCTTGGCACCACTCCGGCGTGCACCGGGACAGMACTGCAGCTCTCGGACCGGCACTTCTACTCCCAAAGCACGGCCCGGGATTTTCCTGGACGGACAAAAACAAGCGGGGGAGAAGGGGAGGGAGAGGACGGGGTGGGGCGGGGGAGAGAAAGAAAACAGCTCCACGGATGTCGGATGTCACGGACGGCGTTACACGGGCGACGCGGGGGCTTCTCGCCGCGTTCCTCGGGCGGAGGAGCTGCGGGCAGTCGCCGGCACGTCGGGGTGCCGGGCGTCGGTGCCTGAGCTCCCCGGTKACTTGCCCCGGGGCGCCCCTGCTTACAGGCACTTGAGGAGGAAGGAATTGCACGAAGTGCCCCGGGGGCAGTCGCAGAGCTTCCCGATGCGAGCCCCTTTCCTCACGGCGCACTGCTCCCCGGCGTCGCACTGCGGGCAGCGACAGGCGGTGAGTGGGGCAGCGGCCAGCGTCCGCCCTGTCCCTCTGTGTCCCTCCCTGTCCAGCCCTGTCCCGTCCCGTATCGTCTGGTCCAGTCCCATTCCCTTCCCTTCCCGTGCCGTGCCGTTCCTTCCCATSCCCATTCCGTACCGTCCCATCCCCATTCCGTACCGTGCCATCCCCATTCCGTACCGTGCCATCCCCATTCCGTACAGCGCCATCCCCATTCCGTCTCTTCTCCGTCCCGTCCCGTCCTGTCCTTTTCCTTTCCCCATTCCGTCCCTTCCCCATTCCGTCCCATCCTGTTCTTTTCCTTTCCCCATTCCGTCCCTTCCCCATTCCGTCCCATCCCAATTCCGTCTCATTCTTCCCGTCCCGTCCCTTCCCCGTNCCATCCCCATTCCGTACCGTCCCATCCCCATTCCGTACCGTCCCATCCCCATTCCGTACCGTGCCATCCCCATTCCGTACCGCGCCATCCCCATTCCGTACCGCGCCATCCCCATTCCGTCTCTTCTCCGTCCCGTCCCGTCCCGTCCCGTCCTGTCCTTTTCCTTTCCCCATTCCGTCCCTTCCCCATTCCGTCCCATCCTGTTCTTTTCCTTTCCCCATTCCGTCCCATCCCAATTCCGTCTCATTCTTCCCGTCCCGTCCCTTCCCCGTCCCGCCCCGTCCCGTCCCGTCCCTCCTCGTTCTGCTCTGTCCCCTTCCCCTTCCTTTTCCTTCCCTTCCCTTCCCTTCCTGCTCCGTCCCGCCCCGTCCCGCCGGCACACACCATGGGCACCTGCCCGAACTTCTTTTCGTAGTGCGGTCCCCTCTTGCTCTTGAGCTTCTCCAGCACCTCCTGCAGCGCCTCGATCTGCCGAGAGACCCCCGAGCCGCCGTCAGTCTGCGCCCGCCCCGGCTGCGCCCCGCTCCCGCTCCCGCTCCCGGCCCCCCGCCGCACCAGCTCCTTCTCCCGGGAGGCGCCGCCGCCTCCGGGCTGTCCCAGGTCGCGGACTCGGCGCGGCGGGGCCGATCCGTGCCCGCGGGCGCTCAGCAGCAGCGCGGCCGCCACGGCGCACAGCGCCAGCGCCCGGCAGCTCTCCATGGTGCTGCCTTCCCGCCGCCGCCGCCGCCGCCGCCGCCTTTATAGCGCCGCGCCCGCCCCGCCGTGCGTCAGCGCCCACCGCCGCCGCGCCCCGACTGTCGGCATGGATCGGCTCGGCTTGACTCGGCACGGATCGGCACGGCTTGACTCGGCACGGATCGGCTCGGCACGGCAGGACTGGGTTCTGCGCCCCCCGTCTCCCCACCGCCCCATTCGGTGTCCCAAACCGCCGGCCGTGCCTCGCCCTCGGGCCAAACAGCGGATCCATCTCTGAAGGCGACCGAGGGAGAGGAAGGTGGCCAGCCCAGCCGCACCCTGCCCGAGCTCCCTGTGCTTGTCCACAGCCGAGGGCTGTTATGTGAGCAGAGTGGGAAACTCTTCCATCTCCGCTGAGGGCTGGGAAGGATGAGGRAGAGGGTGGACACTGGGCACACAGAAATGCAAGTGGAAGCTGGGTTTTCAGGCTAGGGAGACWAGGCTTGGAAATCAACACATTTCAATTCAACTCCGGGATCTGAAAGGAAGGATAGTAAGTACCCCAAGGGCTAAGGAAAAGCACGATATGACGGAAGGAAGAGCCATGTGGGAGGATTAGCCTGAAGGAGTTGGAGAGAGGTGTAGATATGATGAGGATGTGAATGCTTKAATAAGGACAGATGGGAACACACARGGGGAGGTGGAGGCTCAGGGATGCCAAGGGCAAGATGACAAGCAGCATCTAAAGGCCCAGRATAAAATCTCTACAATCTCTATTAATGCAGAACTGTGAACGGTGTTTGAGGTAAAACATCACATCACTGAGCAGTTTCTTGGGGAGCATCATACATTCTGTGTGTGAAAGGAGGCCACCTCCATTTTGGAAGCAAAAATGTCCAGTAGCCAAAAGGAAACCTATCATCAATGAACACATGTCATTCAGACCTTCCCACTGATGTTTGGTTCTGCAAGCCCAGTGGTCTCGTGTCCATGATACAAAAATGTAACCAATGCTCTCACTGAAAAGATCCCTGACAGGCTCAAACCTGCCCAGGCCTCATGCCCATGGTGGTGGCAGAGGCAGCTTCTCTCATTAAGAAAAGTAGTGGCACACCAAGAAAAGCATGGAAGGTGAAGGACAGTGCTCAGCTTTCTCCAGCCTCCTCTGGGCCAAGGCTGGGCTAAAAGGGGGTCACTGAGCAGCACTTTTGCTGGCATGAAACATTTGGGCATGTGGTTGTTGGGACAAGGAGGCAGRAAGCTGGGTCTGTCTGTGAGCATGCTTCACTTCCAGCTCACAGTTCTGAAGTTGCATGGGGATGCTCCCCCCTGCAAGTCAGCAACAGCAGAAACTGGGCTGGAAGGGAGGATGATTTGGAGAAGGAGGRATTTACAAAACCTCGTTACAAAACTCTCCCAGCTGTTCATTTGTAGAAAAGTTAGGAAGGGGAGCTACRAACAGCTTGAAAAAGCAATGCAGTCTGAGCGCACACAAAAAGAAAGTTGTTTAAAGAAAATTTAGCCAGGTCCAGGCATGTATTTTTCCAAGTAGGCAGGCATTGTTTCGAGGGAACAAAACGAGTGTGGTTTAGCAAGTAATTTTCAACAGCAGCATTTTGTTTGAGGCAATAAAAAGCCTCTGATCTCTCTATCACGTTGCTTGCCTCCAGTGCTGCGTGTTCACCTCTTGCTGTTACCTCCTCCCACGCACTCCTATTGATCATCACATCCAGCAAAGGTCTCGTTTGTAATTGCTGGTCAGCGTAGAGATCCTCTGCCTGTTTGCCTCGATCCTCTGGTTTATTTCGCCACAGGGAAGGCTAAGATTTCAGATGTCATGCTGGTGGTAAAGCACACACATAGCAAAGCCCAGGCTTTTCTCCCARGCTGGAGCAAAAACACAATCATGTGTGGCACTGAAAATGATGGGTATTCCAAAACRAAGTTTCTTAGAACAGAGAAATAAGCCAGGCTATGAAAAATGCAACACTTCATGCGGASAGGCAGATATACAGCCTATTCAACTTTAAAAGCAGTATCTGTGAAGCCTGACCAAAAATTCAAGCAATATTTTATAGTGTGAGGATTACTCATGCAGTGTTGAACACACCAGAGATGCTCAGAAAACATGACTGTTTTCTTTCCAAGTTGCACTTCTAGTATAAAGCTGAATTTAATGTTAGCGACTCCASTAAAACTATTGTTGAATGTAGGGGCAGTTACAAATTTTTGTTTCCAACAGCCTGTCTTTTATTATATMTGTCTGGCTACAGACACCAACAGAACTGTATAATTTCTGTGCCTGTTACTGTCTGTATCACACTGTCTCTGCAGACGTTACTGTCCCTTGTTCCTCATYCAGCCATTCTTGTACACTTTGTCTCCAGCACTCTGGGATAAAAAATCAGCAGGATTAATATCAAAAGAATAGCTGAACATTAAGYGCCAGAAGCTACCAGGTCAAGGAGCAGAAAAAGGTCAAAGTACAAAAATATAGAATCACTGTTCAGAATTAYTGAACAGGTAATAATAATAATTAAAATAAAAGCAGGTACATTCTGACAGCATCAGTAGCCAAACRTAAGACAGCTGGCTACAGGATGAGGGGAGCATGTGGCACTTCAGATCTCAGCTCTGGATAATCCACATCAAATGCTGTCAGACCTCAGGGATAGACAGCTCTGTTGTGCCTATGTACTAATTCAGGCTTCTCAAATCTGACTTTCTCCATGCAAATGCTGTTGCAGACAAGGTATAAATAGAACACTACCAATATGCATTAGCACCTGTACAGCAAATAGATAATTTTGAAAATTGTACATGGTATATGCTTTTCATAATCACACTGTTCCATCATGATGAATTAATTAAGTGTACTTCTAAAAGCAGGAAAATAATGAAGGTTTGTGCTGATGCTGGTGAGTTGTTCTGAGATATTTGTGTTATAGTTATGGCTTGATATAGACATATAGTTGGATGGATTTTAGGACTACTAGACTGTAGAGATTAGTGTGAAGCATTTGAACAAGTGCTCTACTCAATCAGAGACATGAAAATAGACATTTGGCTTTAAATGGACGTTTTAAGGCTTTGCAGAAAAGCACCAGGCTTTTATAAGTGCCTTGTTAAATTGCCTTAATTTATAAACCACAGATAAAAAAAATAATATACCATGATTGGTTTTCTGAATCAAGACATTTCCTAGGCTGAAACCTAGAACAGCAAGGAAAATTTAAGATAAATCAGACTTCTGCCACATTTGAAGTAATAAGAGTCCAGAGGCATGCTTGAAAGATAATATCTATTTCAGCAAGAGATACCAATTAATCTTGATGAGTAATAGGTTGGAAAAAAGCCATTTAAATAAAAGATGGGTTCTCAGAACAACAGTACATATAGCAATGCCCACACAAACACTGAGGCTACAAACTCCCCACTAAACAAACGCCCCATAAGGGCGGAAGAGTGGTGGCATCAGGTCCCCAGTGGCTTCTCCATGTCTGGAGGCAGAGCTATTGTGCCTTATCCACATCTCATTTCAGCCCTGGAAGCAGACTCACAGTGATTGTGTTCCAGACACTACACCTTGACATTTGTTAAACAAACTGCTGCCAATTTTGATTGTACCAAATTGTAGCTGCCAGGTACCCAGAACCTTCCCAGCTGCCATGAAAAYAAAAAGGGGAATAGCAATGAGTATGTTTTTACCATCCATCCTAAATTTGTCATCTCAGCCCAGGTAATTTGAGAAAGAAACCCTTTGTTACTTCAAAAGTCTCTAGGGACATGAACAGAAGCTTATCCCACCCCATTCACAGCTTTCCCTTCCCTTCTGTAGAGGTATTTGAAAACACCCCCAAGTACTGACTCTTTTAAACTCCTTGTAGTYAAAAGTTAAGCTCTTAAATAGACCCTGTCTAACTATCACCAGGAAACAGAACTAGGAAACCTCTGGGCCTTCCTTCTTCTCAGAGGCAGGAAGGAGGCACACAGCTTAGAACAGCCAYGCCCAAGGCAAGACTAGATGGGAGCAGAGGTCCCATGGAAGTCTAGAATGCCAGGTATGATGTCCTGGTCCACCACAGTTTGTGCTTAATATGGCACTGCCAATTCCCTTGTTCCTCAACCTCCATCTGCAAATCAGTGTCATTCCAAGTATTATCCTTTCCACTCCACTGCAACCAACCACTGCAAATCAGTGTCATTCCAAGTACTATCCTTTCCAGTAAGGTAACAGATTAGTGGTTGTGAGCTGCTTCAATACTACAGTGAAGAGGTGATATGTATCAGAGACAAGKAGGACAAGCCTTGAAATAGTTACCCACAGCTTTCAAATTGCCACCAGRAATATTACACCCTTATAGGAGCAGTTACCTTTAATTTAKRTTTATTTAATTTTTCYTTTCATTAAACATCCAAAAGAGATCCTACTGGTGGCCCAGTGACAATGAAAACTGAGAATKACTGCTGTAATGCTACTCATGTTAAACTTAAAAGGCAGCTGCTACTGCAAAAGCATGAGATTCCTGGGGGGAGGGGCAATGTAAGAGCTCTGGGTGATTATTCCAAAACAGCACAAATAGATCTACCAACATCATCAAACGTGGTACAAGCYTAGGGTCCAACTCCTCACTCCTCACTGTTTTTTTGCTGAAAAACAATGTTTTCAGCAAAACTCTGGGCAGCAAGAAACCATCTCAGCAATCAGAACACATCACATATGAGAACACAGCACGGTAGCATGCAAAAGCTTTTCCAAAAYAGCTGTGTAGTGGAGGAGTGGTAACCACCAGTGACTCTCTGAACTGCTGCTCTGCACCAAAGATCCTGCTTGGTAGTGGCTGGTAACCAGATGATGCTGACAGGATGCTAAGCCTGTGATGATTAATTTAATTTGCTTAGCATGTTTCCAAAGCTAAGTATTATTAAGGCAGAACACTCCTATTTATTCAGAGATGTGTTTTGACTTTGCTTGCACACATACTCAGAGAAAAAAAATTTGACAAATGTAAAGAACCATCTTT